GCATGGTCAGTTATCTGCGTATTACGTCTTCCAAATAAATGAAGCGTCGAAATTTCTTTCAATGCTTAAAAAGTATTTATACCCAACATCAGATATTAACACTCGCCTGAAAACTTGGTAACACCCTTTGATCAGTCAATGATCCCTAAAATGAAAATAATTTTGCTGTTAGAGCACGTTGTATCACTTGCCCTTATATAGAAGCTTAACTTTTTCAGCATTTCACACTAACAGTTTTTGTTAAAGATTTTTTCTCGATGCTGATATATTATCCGATATTTTGTTACGTGCGTTGTCTGTCACTCGCCAACCGCCAAATGTATGATTTATTATTGAAAGTAAACATTTGTATAAAATGCTAGTTTCCAGCCTGAGTAGCTATGTCAATTACAATAACTGATCTTAGAGCCCTAATAGACTATATTACGGGAGATTAGACCCACAGGCAAACGTTTCTGGATCAATGTTGGATATAATGATTGCGGTGTGAAAGGTTAAAATGTCAGGTGATTAGCTCAAGTGACTAGCCTTCGAGATAGTCTTACATTTTTTTTTTATTTACCCAAGCTAGACTTGCGTCAAAGACTTAGATTAAGGGAAACTTTTAACCATAAAAAATAGTTTTGACAGGTAAATCCATGTACCAGATTGACTTTCTGGCCCTCGTAATTGACCTAAATGTTGACTTCACACAACATAGTCGAAGTGTATAATTTTGAAAATTTGCTAAAAATTCAGGTTTAAATTCAAAGCAGATGGGACAACGCGTAATAAATGATAAAATATGATCTTTTTTTGTAACATGGGTTAGCTTTTCCAGCGCCACGCTTATTATTTTGGCCTGCTGGCGTTCGTAAAAAGTGTAATTTAGGGTGGAGTTTTTCTTTTTTCGGGGAAAAAAACGTAAGGCCGTCTCGACATTAAGAATCCAAACAACCTTAAAGTTACAGTTTTGAAACAAGTTAGCCAAAACCTTCCTCCTGACAAAGTTCGAGAAAATTGAATTTTTCTATCCTGCGTAGGTATAGGTGACTGTTTAACCAAGATGCTCTTCGCGTCACAAACGCGTAACAAATCACGGCACGAAAAATCGCCTTTACCGCGCGTCAAATGTGTGGTTAAAGGTTTTGTAAAAGGTCGCCTTTGCACGCTTTTGACGATCTTTGACGCGAAACAAATATCATCTTTGAATAAACCTTTGCCACCAAAATCAAAGGCGTGAAAGGCCGTTTTTACTCACCTGTGAGCGCCTTTGTTTTTAGGGTTAAAGGTGATCTTTTGATACGCCTTTTCGCACTGTCAAAGGTGGGTCAAAAGTGTAATCAAATTTGTCTGCGATTCAAGTTAAAGGTTTACTAAAGATGTGGTCGAAGATGCTTGTGACGCAGGCCAAAGGCTTGTCAAAGGTGCTCCGCGCGTTCCGCGCTCGCGCTCCTCTTTCGCGCTTCGCGACCGTTGATCACGTTTCGCGCGATCCACGTCTTATACTCTTTCTCTGCTTGCTACACGAGCTTTGTAGCTCCGCATACGAATGATGCAATCATATCCGTACTCTTGTTTTATGTCTGACAAGTTTTGAAGAATATATCAGCTTTAATAAGGTTATTTTGTACCAAAACTCTTGGCAAATGTTAACGGAAAAGCGGCCCGGAAAGATCATTGCACCTGATTTTAGGAAAATAAATATACTCAACTTCATCTCAGTTTTAATTTTTTTTTCCCGTTTTTATCAGGAGTAAATACCTTCAAGTACCTTACATAAATGTATTGGGCTTCAGGTCTCAAAAAGCCACGTTACAGGCTTGGTTTCAAACTACACGTAATGCGACTGATCATGAGGAAGACATTGTTCTGTCTATCGTGAAAAACAACAGTCAACAAATCTTCCATGGTACAAAGCGCGTTTATCTAACATTGAAGTACTATGGCTAAATTCTCAGTTCCTTAAATTTACTAGACCAGACTAGACAATAGCGAGGATAACCGCAAAATTTCCGCAAACTTCGCACAAAAGTCAACTAGTGTATAAGCGTCCTTTCCAGATGGCACGAACAGTCCGTTGCATGGAACTCCTAATGTTTTGGCAGTTCTCTTTTTCTGCTGCTTGCATTTCCTCTTTCTTGCAATATAAGTGGAATGGAATATAGTGTTTTCCACTTCTCTGTCATCAAAGTGGTTAAACTGCCTTGTTGAGGGTCAATGCCAACTGAATCCCCATACTTTCTAAGGAAGACACAATTTGACAAAGTCTAGGGCGTTGACGAAATTATTCAATGCATCTTCACTGGATAAGTCCATCCTGTCAACCAAATGTTGTCCGCATTTGTCTAAACAGAAGCAAACAGACAAAAACGTTGGAAATGAATATTAAGGCTGAATCTTGGCATTCTATTCCTTAAAGTTTACCGCAGAAAAAGAAAGAACAGCATTGGGTTTTGGCTCATGGAGCGAGGCAACAGTGGCTGCTCGTGACCGTGTGACATGGCGAAGGAGAGTGTCTGGCCCTATACCCACATAGGGTTATGGTCGAAGAAGAAAATAGTTTTTGCTCGCATGACATTTAGAAAACGTGACCAATCAGATCATTACTCCTCAACGAGCAAATTTCGGCAGGTTTAAGTTAAGCTCATTTCCGTTCGCAAGCAAAATGTCAGCAAACCAGTTACATTAAACGAATCAAAGTTTTCTCCTTTGTCATATAATAAACATCTTATTAACCGAGCTAAGTCGGTCAGTATGAGAGAATCTTGACCTCTGTCGTGTGTACAGACCGAACGCAGTGAGGTCTGTACTCACGACCTCGGTCAAGATTCTCCCATACAGACCTCCAGCTCGGTTTTTAAGAGCTAAATATAGATTTAGCCAACCCTTAAAGTAGAGCTCCTGGTTACAATCGGTTAGCCTGGCTTGAGCCCGCGATCAAATAATAAACCAGTACCTGGGCAGCGGTGAACTTAAAAAAACACGTGACCTCAGTGAGCCTCAAGCGTTCTATCAGGAATGCCGTTTTCTGATTGACTACGCTGCTCACTATCTATTCTGTGATAGATAGTGAGTAGCGTAACAGTGTATCCTTGTTGACAAAATGACGGCCGCTTCTTGGCGTTTTCGAAGTGTCGGTAAAGAGGATTTTAAACGACTAGCAGATATGTATATGTAATAGGACTACATCCTGTCAAATTTGGAAATAATTGGATGAGAAAAATTCCGAGGACTGCCGAATTGGACGAGGCCGTAGGCTGAGTCCAAAATGTTTACAGAGTTCTAGCTGTCCAGCAGTTCTTAAGTAGATATGTACAAGGTATTTGAATGCGTTTCACGAAAAAATAACAGCGAAAATCTATATAAAGTACATTTACCATTAAAAATAAAATGGTCCCGTAATTATTTACATTCATGTAATTAAAGTTGTATAGAAAAGACGCGTACTTACATAATTAAACTGTGAGATTTAAAAATCCAATTTTGAAATCAAGTTCTTTAATGTTCCGAGTTTGTTGACTGCGCGAATTTGGTCAGGAAGAGCGTTCCAAATCTTAGCAGCAGTATAACACCACGATTTAAGTCCATAAGTTGTAGTTTTTGCTTTAGACAGCTTTCCTCTAAGGGTATAATTAGTTGATCGCTCTTTCCGTAGTTCTCCAATACCTTTGGGGACTTTATACCCATGGACAATTTTATAAACACCGGTGGCCATTTAAACTATTCTTTGATTATGTGGAGACAGCACGTTATTATTATTATTTTTTTTTTTGAGTAGTGTCTCGTACGTGGTTGATTTGTCACAATCATGTCACAAAGCGAAGGGTGCGTTTATTGATTTTTTCCAGTTTGTTTGAACATCTTCCACCTCAATGATACCACATGCACTATTGTTTATAGTTTCATGTTCTAGATTCGCACTTTGACATGGTGTAAAACCTTTCACTTCGCTCAAGCGTCGGTGCTTTCTAACCTCACTCAGAAGAAATATTTATTTCGTTGATGGTTGTCTGATTATGTCATACCACATCAAGTCAAGACTGCGTAATTCAGAAGGTAGTTAAATTTGAAAAACATTTTAAAAGCCTGTAAAACCTAAGCTCTATTCATAATCTGATGATCTCGGTCAGTTAGGTTATCAAAACTGGCATCTTTTATAACATGTTTGCCCATAGCTTTAATGACAGATGTCCTTGCCCTTTCTTTACCTTATAGACCTTGATTTAGAATCAAGATATTTAGAATTCTATGAAGATAAAATGAATGGTTTGAACCTAAGAGTATCAGCAAATCGTTTGTGTGATCTTCTCAATGTTGGAAGTCTTGAGAACGTCAATTAGCTTCTTATCTGATATTTGTTAATCACTACATGAATCATTATATTACAACAAGACTTAAAGACACTTATAAAATCTCATCTAGATTAACAGATTGAACGTCAGGCTCCGTGTTTG